ATGCAAAATTCTTTTCGGACCTAAAATTGTATGACGATGGCAAAAAAAGTTTTTGGTTATAAAAATTGATGGTTATAGAACGTCTTGAGGGACCGTTCTTAATTGGATGAAAGGTCAAGATGAAGAAGTGACAGGAACACAGTGCCTTTGGGTGGCTGCTCCCACGTGGGGGGGCACGGGCTGCACCCACAGCACCCAGAGTGCTCACCAGACCTCCAGTCTCGGCTTCGTTGTCATCGTAGGTTCAAAATTTGTATCAAAAAGGCTTTGCTTCCTTCCCTGGTTGACATTTTTTGGCAGTGTGTGGCGAATAGGTGGCTTTACATGGGAACGCCAAGAGAAACTTAGTTCGAATAGACCCGTAACCAATAAATCAGTTCAAATAACACATTTGTTAACGTTTGCTCTGTTCTCCGCCCTGAGCGGAAGGACAGGGGTGTGACATCAGGACCGCGTGGTCCGGAGGTGGAGAGTGCTCAGGACAGAAAACTCACGTTCTTCCTCGTGTCCCCCACGTCGCTCACTCGTCACGTTTCCACGGAAGCCAGACCCTGAGAACTTCATCACCTCTAGTCACTAACGAGTCCCCTGAAGTCGAAGGATCGGATTTGATCAGTCTGAGACGTCACAGATTTTAAGAGGTTCCATTGTTTTGTGTTTCATTACGGGGGAAAAAATGGTTTCAAGATAAACTAGAAAAATGCTGTATTTCCACCTAAGATTTTAATTTTACATCCATTCACATTCTTTTAGATTTATTCAGATATATACGTTGACCACTCCTGTGCATACTTTTTAAAGAAAAATAAAGTTTTTCAGCAACATTTTCACATGCATTGTCTAAATTACCCGAGTTGTCTTTCAACTAGGAGGACCCATGTCTATTTTATCTGTTTATTTAATAAATCACAAAACGTCTGCGATGCAGCCTTTCTTAGGAGAGAAGTCTGAGGGACGAAGCGACCGATGCCCATTGTGCAGGAGGCACAGGTGACAACCAGCGGCACCATCAAGGACCACCCGCCTGGCTGGTTGTCCGACGCATCTCGAGTCCCGGATGTGAAATGTCAAAGAAAAAACTGTGTCTTAGGATCGATGGGACGGCCCTCCTGGCCTCCCCATCTTCTCCATCGCCCCTGGGCGGGGGGCCTCTCTCCTGGCACCCCACCTAGTGGCCTGTCTGTGGGCTCCAGGCTCTCCCCCACCCCCCTAAGACTCTCCAGGGGTATCTCATGCGTGGAACTGAAGACAGGTGGAGACCCGCTGTCACTGCTAGAAGAATTAGAGAGTGGCTCGGATGTTAATAACACAGAATGAATCATCACCACCAGATCCAGTCACCTGGGCCCGATCATGGCGCCTGTGACTGAAGCCAGGGAGTGCCGTGTGTCCCACGCCCTCAGGGGATCGGGCCTCTGCCCTCTGCCTCCAGCTCCTCTGCGATTCGCCCTCTGTCCTCGCTGCTCCCCGGAACTTCTCTAAGAAAAAAGAGTGTGTGCGGGAGCAGGCGTTTAGGGTCAGAAGGACCTGCGTTTGAATCTCACCTCTGTGACTGCACACGTCACTAACCGCGGAGGGCCTCGCTTTTCTGACAGAAATAAACACCACTCCTCGTCCGGTGTCGGTAAGGCTTCTGTTTTTCGTTATTATCTATCTTTTAGGAGATCACAAGGAAATCTCCCCTGCGGACGGGTGGATTCGACCTCAGTAAATATTAATCCTATTCTGTTCCCCTTCTCCATCTTTTGAAAACAGTTTTCGGTCAGATTCGGAGGAGGAACGTTAAAATTAATAATCGAATAATATTTTTTGGCTACAGTTTTAAGTACCCCGAAATGAAAGTGTTGTCATCTCTCAGCTTTCATGTCGTGAGTGAGAAGTTGACATCTTTCCTCCCAGAGCCAGACTCCACCTCTGCAGTAGATGAACACAGAGGAGCAGGCGGCCGACGTCCAGAAAGGTCTGCGGGGCACAGTTTGGATGCCCGGGCCTGGGGAAGCTGTCCGTTTGGACAAGATGGAGCAGTTGCTCTTGACCGAGACCCCCGGGTCCCTTTACCTGGTACAGAGTCTCATTTATGTCGCTTCTAGGTATCTTCCCGAGTCTGACCTTCAGCCCCTGCTCTTTGTTTGCGCTCCAGAAATCAGTGCCTCGAAGCATACGCTTTCAGACCGAACCGGTTTGTCTCGTTTCGAAATCCTAACTGTGTTTTCGGGCTGCTTAACTTCTGTACTCTTCAGCTTCCTCACCTGTCGGGAGTCGTGGTGACCCCCACCTGACAGACGTGTTGCACGTGAGCGATGCAGCGTACGTGGACCACTCAGCTCCAGGATGGGTATAAGTAGACACTCTGGAGGTGGCTGTGGTTATTACTGTTTTTCCTAAGCCATGACATGGTTTGCTGGGGATTTCAATATCTACCATTCTGTTCTTCCTGTGCTGTATTTTCCAATTTTTCCCCTCCAGTTGATTATCCTAAATCGAACCTCACCTTTAAATTATGATGTCGATGATTTGCTGCCACCTGCAGGCTAATATGGAAAAAACAGAACATGTGCTATGCTTTGATTCTGTCCATCTCGGGGTCATTGTGGAGGTCCCGAGGCCATCTGTGGGCACCCCTGTGATCCCCTTTTCTGAGACGTTTATTTTCCACAGTAATCTAAATACTCGAAAAGCATTAGAATCCCCTTAGATCCTTTTTGGAATCAGGCAGCTATGCATAAAGCATTATTAGTAATCAGATATTGCATTTTTCTTCTTAAGTAGATTTGCAAAATAGTGTTTATTAAAAAGCATGAAAGAGTCTGTTATTTGAGGCATGGTTCGGCACCTGAGTTTTGTTGCAGTGGTGGCGTTTTGGCGGGAAGGTCCTGTTCTACTTGGAGAGCCTGAGATTTGAGCAAAAGATGAAAAATAAAGTGTTTATAAGGCACTGTCTTACGGTCCTTCCTGTGTAGCCTGTATAATTGCTACATTTATACATTATAATTTTGTGATCGTCTCCCACACTCAGTCTCATACTCCTCACATAACCTGGCGTCGGGGGAGAAATTCGCAAGCACACGTGGGCTCTCCTCAGTGGTTTCCGATAGTACCTAGTACAGCCCCTTGTCCACGGTGTGACAGGGCTGGCGTTGGAGCCCAAGGCGCAGTGCCAGACAGCAGGTGACAGATGCAGCAAAGCCTGTGTGCTAAACTATGAGGTTGAATTTTGAATTTTGTCCTAAAAACAGCTTGGGGACCACTAAAGGATTTTCGGCTGCGGGGGGAAGAGGGGGTGACGTGATCGGATTTCTGTCATAGAAATTTCACTCGGGCAGTCTAGTCTGTTCGAAGCTACTTCCGAGGGCACGGGCAGAAGCAAGTCCTGTTTGGGCTTCACCACCGCTGACTGTACCTGCCACGTGTCGTCTCTGCAGTGGAAGAGAATCCTCTTCTGCTTGCCACTCCAGCCTGTGGTTTCATATTGTGCTATGTGTGTTATTTTAATGCCTTTAACGATTTCGTAGACACCTTTCAGGCAGGCACTGTTTCGGTACTGTTATGCTAGTAATTATCGTTATTAAGAATATTAATTGCCATCACGCAGTTAACATGTGATAGACTACGTACCAGTCGTCTCGGGCCTTTCATGCTGGCCACAGTGCTGGCTGCTTGTTGAGCAGCGTGATTATTCTTCCTTCTTCCTCTCTGCCTGGGTGTTAAGTCTGTCATCTGCCGCCTGGCATCTTGCTTTGGGCAGGTGGCACATAGCTGCTGTGGCTGAACTAGCATTTCTCAGAAATGGACGTGGGGGTGGGGAACAGCCGCGGTGGCTGTAATGCTCACTGGCATCTTCCCCTGGTCCCCTACATAAAAGCATCTGCTACTACGGGAGACTGGGAGCACACAGACCCGTGACGTGGCATGCGTGGCGGCACCGTGACCAGGCTAAGAAGCTCTTGGCTCAGGTGTAGGGTTTGGGGAGGGGGGCACCTAGAAGCTCGGTGATCAAGATAAAAATACGTTAATCTAATTTTCAAAAATTAAAAGCAGCGTAAGAAAATCTATGATGAGCAAAATACTAAAATTTTAAATAAAGGCAAGGAGTGGTGCTGTGCAAAGCCACTTTGGAGCCCGTGGCCAAAGGGCAGAGTAGCAGGACTGAGCCTGCCTGGTTAAAATGCTGGTATTCTGATCACCACGGATCCTTTGAATTAACTTTGATTTTGACAAACTGTTGCGTTAAAATAGTAAAAGAATTCACATCGAGAGTTTGGGTGGCCCCTGAAATCTTGCACCCGGGGTGTGGGGCTTGCTGGCCTCGCCCTGGCCCCGTGCATGGCTAGGTGAGCAGGAAATGGCCTGTGAGGTCGGTCTCCAGTAACGTGGAAAGCCTACGTGGGCATGGGCCACGTCTCTGAATACGCGCATTGGAATTTTTTAAGGGTATCTGGATGAAACATATATGTGGATTTAGGAAGGGGGAGGAGGAGGAGGTGTCTTCTGCATCTATTAACTCATGGAAAGAAACAATAAACTTCCTTTAGGCGTTGCATTTGCTCAGGGGTTCTCCCACAAGGAGGTCAGTAGCCATTGGGTTTGATGCCCAGGGGAATGGGGAGCGAGGGGGGAGCTGAAGACACTTATAGCCCCGCCCCCCAAGTGAACTGCTGCTCATGCCGATTGATTGACTGGCTCAGCATTTAAGGCCTTGCCGAGATCCCACGGCTGGTCTCAACTCTCCTGCTTTGCAGGGACTGTACAGTGACCGTGGACGTGAGGGAGCTGAGAGAATGTGGTGGTTTCTAAATTCAGAGTTTGGCAGAAGCTGAGCTGGTGGATTTTAGTGGTTCGCTCAGGCTTTGCTGTGGTCCTTACGGGGACCCAGGTCACTGGAAGGTGCAGAAGGATGATGCAGGGATCCGCCCTCGCTGGCTTGACCCTGGCCGGGGCAGTGGCGGATTTAACCGAGCTTTTGTAATGTTGACTTTTTTTTCTTTTTAATTCCCAACAAGATCCGCTGGGAACAGACCCAGTACCCGAGGCAGGTGAAGATGTTGCCGCCGCGATCAGTGCCACCGAGACCCTGTCAGAGGAGGAGCAGGAGGAGCTAAGGAGAGAACTTGCAAAGGTACAGGAGCCTTTTTTCCGGAATTCCCTGTTTTGCACTTAAAATATATCATCGTCTGTGTTTCTGTGCGGTAATGTCTTACAGTCACCTTTGAACACACACTCTTCCTCTCGAAATCGACCATTTTAAAGTGTACAGGTCAGTGAGTGGCATTTAGCACATTCATAATGTCGTGTAACTGTCACCTCGTCCCGAAACATCTCCAGCACCCCCCGCGGAGACCCGTGCTCGTTAAGCCGGCACCCCCCCCACCCCGGCACCTGCCTCTCCCTGGGCCCCGGGGTGCCAACAGCTCATCTGCTCTCTGTCACTGTGAGTTCACCTGTTCTGGATATGTCACATAAATAGAATCACACAACACGTGACCCTTTGTGTCTGGCTTTGTGCATGTGGCGTCATGTTTCCGAAGACTGTAGCGTGCACTGGCACCTCGCCGCTCTCGACGGCCAGTCCGCTGTGTGTATCCGCCGTGTTTCGCCAGCCGCTCACCCGTCGGTGGACACCTGCCTCGTTTCTTTTGACTGCTGCGGACACTGAGTGACGTTTGTGTAAAAGTACTTGGTTCAGTACCGATTTTCAGTCCCTTTGGCGGCGTTCCCAGACGCGGGATGGCTGTGTCCTCGTACGGTCATTCCATGTTTAACTGTCTGGGGAACCAGCAAGCCGTTTCCCACGGCAGGGACGCCATTTTACACGCCCGTCTGCAGGTCCCACATCCTCACCAGGATTTGTTTTCTGGCTTTTTGATTATAACTGTTCCAGTGAGTGCGAAATGAAATCTTGTGGTTTTGATTCGTCTTTTTCCCTAATGACCAATGGTGTTGAGCATCTTTTCATGTGCTTATTAGCCATTCGTATACCTTCTTTGGAGAAATATCTATTCAAGTCCTTTGCCCGGTTTCTTTAAAATTGCTTTTTTGGGGTTGTTTTTGGTGTATATGTAGTTGAGATATAAGAGCTCTTGATGTGATTTGCAAGTGTAAGATTTGCAAATGTTTTTTCCATTCCATACGCTGTCTTTTCTCTTTCTTCATAATGCCTTAATGCATACAAGTTTCACATTTTGATGCAGTCCAATTTATTTTTTCTTTGGTTGTTTGTGCTCTTGACGTTATATCTAGAACCCATTTCCAAAACCCAGGTCATAGACTTACCTCCATGTTTTCTTCTAAGACGTCTATCTCCTATATTTAAGTCTTTGATCCATTTTTGAGTTAATTTTTTATGTGCTTTGTGGTAGGGGTTCACCTTCATTCTTTTGCATGTGAACGTTTAGTTTTCCCAGCACCACTTGTTGAAGAGACTGTCCTTGTCAGAAATCAGCTGGCCATAGATGTAAGGGTTAATTTCTGGGCTCTCGGTTCTGTTACGGTCACCTGCGTGTCTGCCCTCATGAGAGCGTTATGACTGTCTTCATTGCTACAGCTTTGCAGTAAGTTTTTGAAATTGGCAAGTTTGAGTTCTTCACCTTTTTCTTATTTTTCAAAATTGTTTAGGGTCCCCGAAGTTCCATATGAATTTTAGTCTTCTTTTCTACCCACCCACCCACACACAAATGCCTTTGGAGTTTTTGATAGGGCTTTTATTGGGTCTGTGGATTGATTTGGGGGAGTATTGCCATCTTAACCATATTAAGTCTTCCAGTCTATGAACATAGAATGTCTTTCCATTTATTTAGGTCTTCTTTAATTTCGTTTAGCAACATTTTGAGTTTTTCGTGTATGTCTTATACTTCCTTAGTTACGTTTATTCCTAAGTATTTTATTCACTCTGATGTGATTATAAATGGAATCTTCTTCATTTACTTTTTAGACTTTTTTAATTGATATTATACAGAAATACAGCTACATTTGCATGTAAATCTTCTATCCTGCGGTTTTGCTAAATTTATTAGCTCTAATAGATTGTGGATTATTTAGAATTTTCTATGTATGCAGACTTGTCATCTGCAGTTAAAGATAATTTTACTCTTCCTTTTCATTTTAGATGTCTTTTATTTCGTTTTCTTGCCTATCGCTCTGGCTAAAACCTCCAAGAATGTGTTGAGTAGCAGTGGTAAAGGTGAGCATCCACATCTTTTCTGACTTGCGGGGGAAAAGCTCTCTCTTTCGCCACTGAATATGACGTGCGCTGTCAGCTTTTTATAAACGCACTTATTCACATCGAGGAAGTTTCCTTCTAGCCCGAATGTGTTCAGTGTTTTTATCACAAAAGAGTGTTGGATTTTGTCAAATGTTTTCCTGCGGTATTAAGATAATCACGTGCTTTTCTCTGTATCGAATCGATGCGGTGTACTACGTGGGTTGATTTTCGTAGATCGCATCACCCTTGCCTTCGAGGACAAACCCCACCTGGTCGTGCAATGCAGGGATACCTCGTTTTATCCCACTTCATCTTTTTTATTTATACATACGCTTCACAGACGTTGCGTTATTTTACAAATTGAAGGCGTGAGACTCTGTGCCCGCGAAAATATTGGGACTCGCTTTATTGCGGCGGTCTGGAACCAAACCCGCAGAATCGCTGAGGTGAGCCTCTGTAGCCCTTTGTCGATCTGCTGGATTCCATTTGCCAGGATCTTCTTGAATTTTTTTGCATCTATATTCATGAGAGAAATCGGCCTGCAGTTTTCGTTCCTTGTCTCATCTTTGTCCAATTTTTGAATCAAGGTAACGACTGGCCTTTTAGGATGAGTTAGAAGTATTTCATCTTCTCCTGTTTGTGGAAGAGTCCAAGAAGGATTGGCATTAACTTTTCTTTCAATGTTTGGTAAAATTCACCACTGAAGCCATCTGGTCTTAGACTTTTCTTTCTTGAGAGATTTTCAGTTACTGATTTAATCTCTTCACGTGTAGGTCTGTTCAGATTTTCTTTTCGTTCTTGAGTCACTTTTGATAATTTGTGTGTTTTTACAAAGTTCTTCGTTTCCTCTAGGTTATCTAGAGTGTTGGCATTTAGTTGTTTATAATCCTTTTTACGGCTGTGAGGTCAGTGGTAGTCCTGCCGCTTTCATTTCTGATTTTAGTTATTTGCATCTTCTCTCTTATTTTTTCTGTCTAGCTAAAGATTTGTCAATTTTATTGATATTTTTAAAGTTTTTGGTTTCCTTGATTCCTCTATTGATTTTCTATTCTCTATTTTTTTTTTTATCTTCACTCTGATCTTTATTATAGCCTTCTTTCTGTTAGCTTTGGGTTTAGTTTGCTTCCTTTTTCTAGTTCCTTAAGGTGTAATAGTAGGTTATTGACTTGAGATCTTTCTTTTTTTTAAATGTGGGCATTTGCAGCTGTAAACTTCCCTGCGAGCACCACGTTCGCTGCATCCCATGCGTCCTAATATGTTGTGTTTTTGTTCTCATTTGTCTCAAAGTACTTTTTAATTTCCTTTGTAATTTCTTTCTTAACCATTGGTAGTTTAAGGATATGCTCTTGAATTTTCATATATTTTGAATTTCCCAGTTTTCCTTTCGTTTCTGATTTCTAGTTTTCTTCCACCGAGGTTGGAGAAGATACTGTACATGATTTTAAATTTATCGAAACTTGATTTTTTTTTTTTGCCTGGAATATGCTTTATTCTGGAGAATGCTCCGTGTACATTAGAGAAGAACGTGTGTTCTGCTTTTTTGGGGTGAAGTGTTCTATATCTGTCTGTTAGATCTAGTTGGTTAGAGTGCTGTTCCAGTCCTCTCTTTCCTTATTGACTTTTTATCTGTTTGCTTTCTCCACTTCTTTACATAAGGTTTTATAAAGAAGGTGGGGATATGTTGGATAAGGCAGATTGGTGATAAACTCTATAAGGAGAATAAGAATTAAAAATATGGAATATTTAATGCACACCTAAGAGAAAAAATTTTTTT